ATAGTCCATTATTATTATTATGGGTAAGATCCCATAACAAATATATAAAAAATTCTATGTCAGTATAATAACTTTATGGGATAATCATTAAGATGAACACAGATTTTTAATCTATTGTTTGATATTTATTTATTTAAACATGTAATGTAGGAATGAAACCTTGGTTTGCTTTTCTTCATCTTGTATGAAAAATTATTCTCTTAATTTCTGTTGTCAGCATCATAACTATACGAAATAAAACGTTTTTATAATATTTGTTTGCTGGTTTTATCTTTATTTTTATAAATTAATATTGAATAAAGTTCTAAGAAGAATTTTGAATCTAGGTTTTTTTTGTTTTTTTTTTCTTAATTGTAATTAAAAAAGTATTCTATACTGAAATAAATGCTACAATCATTCATTTTCAGCAGATCCACTTCAGCTTATGCTACTTGTGGTGATGTCACATTTAATCGAACAGGCCTTCTATCCAGGTGGTGTTAATAATATGATGTAAAGATTTGAAACTTGACATTCATAAATAAAAATAAGGAGCAGATAACTCTTTAGGAAGTCAAGGGTTCATTTGACATTGTGTTTGTATTACGAACATGATGCTACTTCTAAAATCATTAAAATAAAAAAAAAACACTTGTTGGCGATCAATATAATATCTCTATAAGTCAAGTATTTGAGTGTACTGGCCAAATGTCATGCCTTGAAAAAGATCTAATGAATGCTAATCGATAAAAATTATTACCTACAAAATTTTCCAGTCAATTTAAGTAGTGACCTAAATATTTAAGAAACAAAATTATGGCACCCACTCAGGAGATGAAAAACACAAAAGCTATGCTATATTTTATTTACACAAACAATAAACCTAACCTGTAAACATTTTGGAGAATTTTAGAACAGTTCAATATTTGCTGTAGCCAGGAATAAAATTCCCCTTTTCTAAAGTAAAAGAAAAATCCACTTGCAAATGGAATCAGAAAAATGCAAAGAATTCTTATTTGTGTTCATTCTTGTGGAGAATTTTCTAAAATCATTTTTGCAAGTGAAGTCAGTAGAAACAAATTTTCCATGTAACTGAATATTTGAAATTTTTTTTTTCTTTTTGTGGGAAGGCCCAGGGCAAATTGCAAAATTGATAAATCTTTGCAAAAACTAAATTATAGGAACTAAAGAGCATAAAAAAATATTTTCAAGACCACTAACACATTTATAAAAAAAAATGATTGAAATTTACACAACCCTACAATCTATGACATTCACATATTCAATCATATCTCTCTCTGTCTTATTATATATATATATATATATACAGGGTTGGATTGGTAAATTGTTATATTTTTTTTAATAATGCCTGTGCATTGTTTGTTTTTGCACTGCAAAGTATATTAGGGTCAGTTGGGCACTATCTGTGAGAAAAAGAGTATCATGGCGCAATTCACTCTGCCAGAGATTCAGAAACGGCATGCTGTAATGCTTGGCATTTGTGCTGAAATCTCCAATACAAACATTTCAGAGTGTTTGGGTGTGACAGTGCAGATGATTTGGAAAGAATTGGATCAGTCTAATGGTGATTGCAAAGGTGTTTGGTGTGATCACTAGTGATAGTGATGTTATGCCTCCATTAATCTTCCCACAGGGCCTCAGACTTAATACAGAGGCCTACATCAAGTGTCTTGAAAAGGTAGTGCTGCTCTAGATCAAAAGTGTGGCCTCTGGAAAACCCTATATCTGGCAATAGGACTGCGCACCATGCCACACAATCAGGAGAACCCAGTCATGGCTGTCAGACAATTTCTGCAACAATATCACCCCTTATATCTGGCCACCTAACTCCCCAGACTTCAATCCTCTTGATTATTATGTGTGGGGTGCAGTTGAGCCAGTGACCAACAAAACTCCTTATATCTGGCTACCTAACTCCTAGTTGAACTGAATAAATTTATGAGATATTGTTACTTTCATTTTTGCATAATTTAAGCAACAATTTATCCATGACACCCTGTGTATATATATATATATATCTTAATGCATGTTTCATTAAATAATATAGACAAGTTTTGTCTATTTATTTTAAGTAAGTTCCTTTCATATTGTCTGATAAGCTTAATAACATTATCATTGAAAGATGAAAAGAAATCACCATATTGATACATGTTTAAATCCAATCTAAGCTTTCGGCTTACATAAGCCATTATCAAAGATGGCAATTACTTTTCAATATATCAACCAATACACGGACAAAACAATAATGTTTTTGTTGCATGAAAAATTTCGAAGAAATGACTAACTTGTGTATACGAGACATGGAAGTGAAAATCACATCGCAGCTCATGACGTCACACACGACCACGCGAGAGTGAATTCAAGAAGTATTAAGTATGGGAAGTCGTTGGTATAAACCAATGGCTTTTGTTACCAATTATAGGCATTTAAGAATATTTGTGAAGATTTCATAGTTTATTTTGTTCAGGTTAGGTTTCAACTGTTTTATGTATATAGCTTC